GGCTTATATTCGGAGGGGCGATTTAACGGAGGATTTTTTGCGTTACCGGTTTGGGGGGCTTATACATGAGGGGCTTATTTTCGGAATTTTAAGGTAGCCTACTTTTCCCTTAGCTCAACTGCTAATGGCTGACAACAATAGTGAGTTTACGCAACAGGACGGTAAGAAAAAGAGAACGGCAAAACGCTTGTGTGTGACAAACGTGACAGGGCTATCACTTGCGTGTTTTGTCGTGATCTTCACTGAACATTACGGTTTTCTGATCTTTACGAAAATGTCTGTTTAAAGGAAAGTGAAGTTTGGCGAGAAGTTATTTCAAACAAAATTAATGTCACGCTTGTCACACAAGGCCTGACGTCTTCTTTCCTCCCCCGTCCTGTTGCGTGATTCACTACACAGTAATTTTCAGGGAGTTATAATAATTCCTCTAGTGGGGCTAATTTAACTCCTTACGGTGGAGTTATTTTTTTGGGGAGTTATTTTAACTCCAAAAAGGAGTTTAAAGAACTCTTTTTCAGGAGTAAAAGTGACCCCAGATATTGAGGAGTTAAAATAACCTCAAAAAAGGAGTTATCCTGTACCTAAAATTTTTACTCGACTTTTCAGAGTTAAATTAACTCCAAAAAGAGTAAAAACAACCCATGTAAGGAGTAAAAGTAACCCCATTTCGGAGTGATTTTAACTCCAGACTGGGAGAAAAAAAGAAATCTTTTTCAGGAGTAAAAATGACCCCAAATTCGGAGTTAAATTAGGAGTTAAAATAACCCCTAAAAAGGCGTTATCCTGTACCTAAAATTTTACTCCATTTTTGGAGTTATAATAACTCCCCAAAAATTACGGTGTAATGGTGAACTCATTTGTGAACACAGAAACGTATACAAACACAACAGTACAACAAGCAGCCATGTAACTGATTCGCAAAACTACTTTATAAAATCCGGCCCCTTGTGGACTAGGCCCTTGGGTCACATTCCCCAACAGGGGTATAGACGCTCATAAAGCTTTCTTTGCAATATAGTCTCTGGGGAACCATGAATTTGTCCAGGAAGCCTTTATTACGTACTAAGTAGTCTTCTTATTTGCGGACTTACCATTAACAAATTGCTCGCCATTGATTGGTTTCAAATGCACAAGAACTGCAATTCAACATAACAAGGAAAACTTTAATTGCACTGGATTGGTATCAGGGACATTTATGCATATGTGAAATTTGGAATCCTGGGCTTTGTAATCTGGAATCCGACTCAAGGAATCCGGAATCCCGCAAACGTTTGGAATCTTGAGTTTCAGTCTGGCAAAGAATCCGGAATCCACGATCCAAGACTGTCTTGGTTTACCTCATATAGGTCGATGAAAAGGACACTAAATCCAGAGGCTCGTAAATTCGTGGTGAAACCTTTGGCATGGCGTATTCAGAAATTTTTAACGAGTTTGTTTCTTTAACTTTGTCAACGAACTCGAGCGGAAACGCTTGCCACCCAGGATTTTTGTTTGTTTGTTTGTTTTAATCTTTTCTTCTCTTTTTTTTTTTCAAAATGTTGTGCTTGACTAACCCGCAGGTGGACTCTAAAGATATCCTATCAACAATGTGTTATGACCGTTTTAGACCGGGGACTTTTGAATTTGATTTATATTCCGCCTGACTTGAGGAACCTGACATTAGTGTGTGACATACGGTTTTTTTATCATGATTTTGTAACAGACGGTTTTGCGTCCACTGGCGCCCTTTTTTAAAATATGTACATATTTCATGTCGAGTAGTAATTTCTAAACTCTTAACATTTTGACTGAATATACTACTCTATTTAATAAAGAATAATACGAGCATAGACAAGGACACATAATATTCATAATTCTTGACAGGAAGAGCAACTGAAATGATGTACCGAAATGACCGACAAAAGTATACAATTGATATCAAATATTCAAATTATATTACCTGTCTCTTGGTGTCACTCACGTAGCTGCAATTTGAACCCTTTTTTTTCAATCAAACATCAGACACGTTTAACAGGATTCTGCTCTCTTATATTTCGTTGCGCAATTCAGCATACGCTTTATATCATGGTCGTACCCGTAAGATGTGAAAACCCATAAAGTTTATACGCGTAGAATGTGAATTTCTTATAGACTCCAAACGTAGACAAATATATAACTCAGTTAGCTTCCTTTCACTAAATTCCAAAATATTTTATAGTACTCGGACCAGCCTTGTTTAGAGCTTTATGTCAGGACTTGTTGATACTTAATACAAACTATGACATTTAGGAACCTATCTTACCTGTACAGAGAACTAATGTGAGGTAAATCAGAAACATTTTGTGACATCGGAACAGAATAAACAGAAGAAACTCCGCCAATCGATCTCTGGTGTCTTGTATGTCGGGTAACAGGAAGACCGTAATTGAATACCGAACAGTGATAGCTAGTCAAGTAACGCAACTCTTATGTCTGTACGGCCGTTACGATCACTTCGCCCTGGGTTCTCAGTGCAGTTTGCTGGGATTAGAATGAGCGGAACAGGACAAGTTTTCCAACAGAAACTTGTCCGATTTTTTTGTCTGATTTTTTTTGGTCCAATTTTTTTGTCCGATTATTTGTCCGATCTTTTCGTCCGATTTTTTTGTTCGATTATTTGCTCGATTATTTGACGTATGTCTGATTTTCTCGCAGGCTATCCGATTTTTTGTCCGATTTTTTTGCCCGATTCATTTATCTTGTCCATAATTTTTGCCCGAGTATTTGTCTGATTTCTTTGTCTGATATTTTGTCCGATCATTTGTCTGATTTTTTA